CGAGGCCATCAGCGATGCCCTTGCCTACCAGCTCCTCATTGCCGTATGCGGCCGCGCAGTCAATGTGTCTAAAGCCTGACTGAATGGCGAACGACACTGCCTCTGAGGCATTGGTGCGGTCCAGGTTCCAGGTTCCGAAGCCGAGAAGTGGTATAGCTTCTCTGGTCAATGGCTTAGGGGCTTGACCTGTGAGAGGGATCTGGCCGCTCGGTGGCGCGAGTGCTCCAGCGGCCGCCGCAAGGGAGACAAGCGACGTTAGCAACTTCATGACTTCTTCCACCATAAATATAGATGAACAAGAAAGGACTGCAGCGACCAGACGAAGGGAAGATCATGTCACCAATCTTACCTTTCGCATAGCTCCCCGCTCGCTGCATGATGCAATTCTCGAAGGAGAAGGTGATGCAGGTACATTGACGGGAGGATGTAGCTCGCGGCGATGCCGGTTCGCAGTCTCCTACAGAGTCCCTTCCGTGATGACGGACACAGCTTTACCACAATTTCTGTAGACCAGACTGCGTAGTTGCTGATGCGAGTGTTTGCAGTGAAGGGATCGTGGCACACACGTGGTTCACTGTAGGAGAAGCGTGTCTTGGCCGCATTGAGTTTACTGTGGCGCGGGCGAACCGATCCAGGGACGACATGCAGGGCTACCGTCATCGAGGAAATTGACCGAACGTACGATTGTTGAGAACACGGAACCATCTTCTGCCATTGACCGTCTGCAATTTGATGTAATAGTACCTCACACTACCCATATCATATATCATACTGGATAAACCCCTCTGTTACAATCCGAAACGTGACAAAGCATCTCCGAAACGCTACTGAAATCCATCATCCGATGTACACTCCTTCAGAGAAAGAGCAACTCCGCAGGAACGAGCACCACGAGGCAGATGTCGTAGTGGTGGGCGCTGGCATATTGGGCTGTGCAGTTGCGGTCGCGCTCGGAAACCAGGACCGCTCGGTGATTCTCCTCGAAAGATCACTCAAAGAGCCCGACCGAATAGTCGGTGAACTTCTCCAACCAGGAGGCGTGCAGGCGCTGGAGAAGCTAGGCTTGAGGGACTGTCTGGAAGAGATCGACGCGGTTAAGGTCTTTGGCTATGATGTGATCTACTACGGCGAGGAGGTGGCGATACCATATCCCGAAGATGTACGTGGAGGAGAGGCGAGCGACGAGATGAGAGGTACGAAGCGCAAGAGACCCGAGGGGAGGTCCTTCCATCATGGCAGATTCATTCAGCGGCTACGGGAGAAGGCCATGGCACACCCAAATGTCACTGTCATTGAGGCTACGGCGACGGAGATGGTGACAAGCGGGTATACTGGACAAGTGCTCGGCGTGGAAGCAAATGTACAGGGCAAGCCGGATAGTTTCTTCGGTCACCTCACGATCATCGCGGACGGATACGCCAGCAAGTTCAGAAAGGAATACAGGACCGACACTCCAGTCGCGAAATCAAAATTCTGGGGACTGGAGCTGATAGACGCGCCTCTGCCGATGCCGAACCACGGACATGTGATACTAGGAGATGGCGCACCGGTTCTGCTCTACCAAATCGGCACCCATGAGACAAGAGCGCTCGTCGACATCCCCGAGAACACCACGTCAGCTTCAGTTGCGAATGGAGGTGTCAAAGGCCACATTCGCAACGTGGTCATACCATCCCTCCCACCGGCTGTACGACCCTGCTTCGAGGCCGCTATCGAGAAAGACCGTCTTCGCAGTATGCCAAACTCCTTCCTTCCACCCAAGACGAACATCACGCCCGGTCTCGCGATCCTTGGAGACGCCTTGAACATGCGACATCCTCTCACAGGCGGCGGCATGACCGTGGCGTTCAACGACGTAGTCCTACTGTCAGACTTGCTCGATCCAGCAGTCGTGCCGTCGCTTGCGAGTACTGGGCTGGTGCTGAAGCAACTCAAGCGCCTACACTGGCAGCGTAAGAGCCTCAGCTCAGTCATCAACATCCTCGCTCAAGCGCTTTACTCGCTCTTCGCCGCCAACGACACGCAGCTCAAAGCTCTGCAGCAAGGATGCTTCGAATACTTCAAGCTAGGCGGCAATTGCGTTGATGGACCTGTTGGCCTATTGGCCGGCATCATCAGAAACCCCTTCGTGCTGATCTATCATTTCTTCTCCGTCGCAGTCTACGCGATCTGGATCTACGTGGCGAGCGGAGGCATCCTGGCTGCGCCGTTCCGTGCTACGATCGGTAGCTCCATGGTGTTCTACAAGGCGTGCGCGGTGCTGTTCCCGTACATCTTCTCAGAGCTCAGAGCTTAGGCGGGCATCTTCTCGGCCGAATGCCAAGGCCCGAGAGCGAGCGCGTCCACTGGGTCATCCCATCGACTAAGTTCTACACCACTTGCACATGGGGTGTTGCCCACGAGCAATAGCACAGATACGAAAGGCGGCTAGCGCAAGCATGCACTGGCACTGGTGTTAGGACATATTGTTTCTCCGCTCCCGTTCCAGTTGTCTGTATGCCAGACCTCACTTCGCTGTGATCGCTATAAGATGGCCTAGTTGGTCAACAACAGTATGAGCTCTCGACACTAAAGACCATCTCCATTATCCAGCCTACGGCACACAGCACCGCAAAGATGTCCTCACTCGCCGCCCAGAAAGCCACGATTGCTCAGCTCCTCGCCCACGTCAACTCCTGGGACCTCGAAGCCATCGCAGCCCTCTTCGCGCCAGGCTTCGTCCGCGTCTTGCAGCCTGGTCGATCCGTCGAGTCTCGCGAAGTCAATGGAGATGAGCTTATTCTCGGCCTGAGTCGTCTGGGATCTACCTTTATCACGCCAGTCAAAGTAGAATCAGACCGCTTGCCCCGCCTCCGGATATGATGACTGACAAGGCGCGACAGTACGACTTCCGCAACTACGTACATGACGGCGATGCGCATAAGTCGAGCTTCGAGTTCATGAACGCAGCGGAGACTAGGCTCGGACCTTTCGGACTGGAGGGTGTTATGATTCTAGAGTTCACGGAAGACGGATCGAAGATTCTTCGTCTGGTCGAGTATGTCGACTCGATGGTGTATATGGCGTTCCGTGAGAAGGTCGCGGCTGCGATGAAGATTGGGCAAGGAAAGTGAGTGCAGATCAACTGCGGCTTACGTGCGATCTCGGCCGAGCCTTAAAACCGAAAGCGGGTACTCAATGCAACGATTACATGAGCCTAATAGATCACCGGCATGGATTCGAGTAAGGATTTTATCCCAGCGCAATGATATCCTATTCAAGCGACATGCAGGCGAAGCAATTATCATGGCGTTAGGGCACAATCTCCTCGTCTACGGTGCAACTTTCGCCCATCTGCGTCCGGACGACTCATATATATAGCCTGAGCGTCGTCTCGCTTCATGCATCTGAACATCAACTCCGTCGCCTACAGCCAAACAACCCTCCCGGACTTACCTTAATGACGACTCAGTCTACTACTGTTCCCCTCTCCTCAGCCAAGTGCCACCATGTCCTCCCTCGCAGCCCAAGAGGCTACTCTAGACAAAGTTCTCGCCCTTCTCAACGCCTACGACCTCGACGCTCTAGCCGAGCTCTTCACGCCAGACTTCATCAGATACCTACAGCCTCAGGCATCCGTCGAACCGCACCAGCTGAACACCCAGCAGCTCGTCTTCGGACTCAATCGGATCGGACAGCAGTTCACAACGCCGATCGTCGTACGTTCACCTAACTCCCTGGCTCCCCATGTGCTTCGGCTGAGGTACACGGCACTGGCTGATCGGACTGTAGTACAAGTTCCATAACCACGTTCACGATGCCGAAGCGCATAAATCCGTGGTTGAATTTAGCAACCATGCTGAGACGAGGGTAGGCCCGTTTGGCGTGAAAGGAGTTCTGTTCTTTCAATTCACCGAGGACGGGGAGAAGATTAGCAAGGTGGTCGAGTATGTCGACTCGATCAAGCACTGTGCGTTTCAGGAGAAGCTCGCGGCTGCGAAGGTCGGTGGGATGCATTGAGACAATAGACAGATTGAGATATTGGTGATGCGGCCGTGGGTGTATCTCAGCGTACTAGTCGCGGATATTGTGTATGTGTCTCTAAATCCGCTCCTGGCAATCGTTGATGCAGTAGTCCCATGAAACATTGCAGACTGTGACATGAGGCCGGCTCTATCCACCCATAACCCAGCAGACATGAGTATGAGGGCTCCTAGGTGAGGCATATGTTCCGATAGTCCTGGCCTCGAAACGCGGTAAGTCAACGACTGTCCTTTCACTGAGTACAAACCATGCTTTCCCCACGGAGCGCACTTTCAGGTCACCAAATCGGATTCTCTGCCCGCAAAGCATTCCTTCCGAGCCTACATTCGTATGCCACCATCTGACCTCGACGGTGCAAGCACTGAGATGACCGTGACGGCGAGAGCCATCTCCGAACAGGTAGCAAAAGGCAAAAAATGACGGCGTGTTGAACTCACACCAAGTTGACGGTACAAGTTGACTGTAGAGAGAACTTGAGTTTCCTGCATTTTGTGTAGATCTTTGAATGTAGAGTCTACGAACGCGAAGCAGTAGTTGAGGAGGAGATCGAAGATCGACTCGGACACTTGGACGAGTGCTTAATCGTATATCGCAATGGTTAAGAGTGAGGATTGTCCGACTGCTAGGCAACTGCAGGAAGCATGGGTCCAAGAATGATCCAGCGCTCTAGCAGGCACTGCTTGAGAAATGCGGTGTAGCGTCAAGTAGAATCTGCTCCATCCTAGCAGCAGTCAGTGGCGTACCCAAGAGTCATCGATGACTTCAGTTGCCAAAGTCCAAAGTTATGTCCAGTGTACTTGCCAATCGGGATTAAAGCCCTTTCTTGTAAGATGATAGGTGCCAAGTACCTGAGTGGTACGAGATATCACGTCTTTCCATAGTCCAGACGAATCCTGCCTAGAGCATCCATAACGTCAAAATTCGCAAAAAGACGGCGTGTTAAATTCATTCTACGTTGCCCGTGAGGAGATCGCGAATACTTTAACGGGGGATCGAACCCCGGACCTTGTCCGTGTGAAGGACACGTCATACCACTAGACCATTAAAGCCGCTATAAGGCTTTGAGTTTTACATCTAATATAATCTCGATTGTTAGATCGATTGTCAGACCAGACAAGGTGCAGCTCCGTCCCCCTTGCACATCCATAAGACGACCTATTTTCAGACCAAACTGAATTTGCATCGTGAGATAAGCTCCGTAATGGTACAGATCGTGAAAGCAGACCGGATTGTCGATCAGAAGGCAATAATGATTGTCGCTGTATCAAGATGCAATAATGGTTGATCAGCCAGATCTCCAGCCCCGATCGCAAGAGGCATACGAGACGAGCATGAACCCACCTGTCGTCTCACATGATTTTCTATGTCCTTCCACTAGTCCTCCATGACTGAACCCAAGCCCTCCTCGCCTGATGAATACCAGCAAGTGCCAAAGCCTTCATTCTGGTCCCAATTGAAGAGTTTCGCCGCTAATGCATTTAGCTATCGCCCGGATCCTGCGCAGTCAGACTCAGAGCAGGAGTACCAGTGGCAATGGAATCTGCATATCTTAGCATCGACGCAGTCCCCAGAAGCGGCAACGCACGCTCTCTCTGTGGGCAGGAGTGGGTTAGCTGAGCATCTTCGGCCCCCGGTGAGACCAGAGAAGGCACATGCTGAGAGCAGTGCTGAGGTTGGGAAATCTCCGCGACAAAAGAAAGGGAAGGTCGACGAAGGGAATGAAGGGAAGAAAAGAGATGGTGAGAAAGCAAAGGGGAAATGAGATACTACTTGGTCGAGAACCCGGAAAGTTGACTCCTCATGTGCGGAATCGAGTGATGTCGTCCGATCTTGAAGTGGATCTCTTGTCTGATGATGCGGTGTGATCAGCGAATACTTTCAAAGTGTAGGGCAATCAAGATGAATGCAGCCACCGGTTGGCAAACGAGCAATCGGCCACGCCAGAGAAGCTTTAATCCGCACCAAGCCAACTGCATCGATCGTACAAACCTATGCTTCATCAAGCAGATTTTTCTCCCAAGCGCCGCAGTCATAAGGCTGCCATACAGCCTTCT